CAGTCCGTATCCTTGGGAGATTGATTTCAAATCTCCCTACAGATGCTGAAAAAACGTGAATTATAACAAATGATATCCATAGCATGGTCTCTGGCCTCCTCTAGTGGCCAGTTCTGGTAACTTCACCTTTAGAAATCTGCATTTCTAGGGTTTTTCCTTTTAACCTTTTAAATATTTTCAGACCGTGGATAAGTTAATCAGTGCATACTGGTCTCGTAGATAAGGGGCCCCTACTATATTTATTTAAGGTACCTGTGTGGGCCACACTTAAAGCTGGGCCGAGCCTTATTCCCTTTCTACACCTGTTCCTCTCTGGAAGGGATGGGCAGGGTATCCCAGGTTAAGGGGTCTTTACTGCTAACTCGAATTCTCTTGGCTGCCTGAACACGCACGGAAGATGAGAGGTGCTTTCGTCATACCGGTCAAAGAAGGTTGCCAGGAGGCGTCGGAGGAGGACTTTATGCTTCACACCCGCACACAGATGACAGTTCATCAGCTGCCCTCGGGTGATGTAAACACCGGAGCCTAAGGGAGAGGAAAAGAAAAGGAGAAATCGCCCTCGGACAGCAAGTTGGAGGAAGGAGAACGGACATTATTTCCTTCAGGCCATTTGGAGTTTGAGCCAGTCAGAAAAAGCAAAAACTGGAAACAGTTTTTGGAAAGCAGCCGGATCCTCGGTTTTTTTTCTGACGAGTCCAGTCATTGACCAGCGGAGAATGATTCCAGAGAAGGGCTTGCCGAAATATTCCAGCATTCCAAAGTCATTCACTCCGACAGACTGTTTGTTTGTTTGTTCATGACATTTATATACCACCCCATTAGGGCACGGCACTATTCTAAGCGGCTTACAACCTAGCAATAAAACATCTGGAATAGACATCAAAATCCAATCATTCAGTTAAATAAAACCGAACTGCAGCCAATATAGAAGAGGCGTATTCTCTAAGTGCAAGAACGGGACAATGTAATAAACACACAAATGCTTTGGGCCACCTGACAGACAACTGCATATATTAGCTTACAAAAAAATTTGAACAATCAGAAGCAGAAGTTGGAGAAGCTCTATTCTCCTTACAAAGACAAGATCAGGGGGGCATTCAAGGATAATGCTGGTTCGAAATAGAAAAAAACTAATTGTTTTGGATAATGGAACTGAAATAATATCAAGGTGAAAAGCAAGTTATTGGCAAGCAAAGAGGAAAACCTGCATCTATTTGACAATTTAAGAAGTCAGAAAGGAAGAAGGTGGTTCGCAGACCCAAACGCCTGTCCGGAGACGAGGCTGTGATACTATTTACCTGCAACAAGTTCAAGTTTTTCTCCAGGATCTCCTTCTGAGTAGAGTTTTGGATGGCACCGATATCCAATTTGGCTGATGAGACTGGCCGGGAGGGCAACCAGGTCGCGGCGAATGAGGACGCAGGACCGGCTCTCCAAGGGGCCCTGCTCCGGCTTCTCGGGAGGCCCTGGCGGTGGCAGGGGGAGACAGCAAGGAAGGAGAGCATTAGCGAGACACTAAGGGTGTGTGTGTGCCTGAAAATCCCTCATGCTCCCAGGCAACTCACCGCTGAAAGTGTGACGAGGATTTCTATGACATGTTACATTTTTTCCTGCAGCTTATGTTTCAACTTATAAGTGGGTCTGGACAGGGCCAGGATTTCTATGACATGTCACACTTTCTCCGCAACTTAACCTTGAACCCGCGAGCAAATTTAAATATGACATGTCATAGAAATCGTCTCCCTCGTGATGAGCAAGTACGGACATGCCTTTTTTTCTAAAAAGGACAAGCTTTGACACCCCCTCTGAACCCTCTAGTGCCACGTATGATGCCAAGTAAGAGGATTTCAGCCATGGTGTCCTAACAGAAGCATCCACTCTCTCTCTCTCACACACACACACACACCAATCGGGTGTTTACTTTTGCCAAGCAGCTATGTTAAGGGACTCGGGGTTTACGGAAAGTCTCTCTGACGTCACACATGCAGAGTTGTTAACCCCTTACAAGGCAGGATAACTCCCCCCATGCTCTCCGTGCAGCAGCCGACAACTAAAATAATAAAGGCTGAGGCAGGATAACTCCCCCCAGGCTCTCCGTGCAGGGCAGCTGAGGACGGGATCTGGTGGAGATCACTCGTGGGGCTCAACATTTATTTATTTTATTAGGCTTCTATTCCACCCATCCAGACCAACAGTCTACTGACCTAAGTTAGAGGCAATTGGACAGCAGCCGACAACTAAAATAATAAAGGCTCAATAGGGATTTAATGAGCCTGCTCTGTAAATCCAATGGATTCCAATGGCTCTACTCTAACTGCTCTAACAACTAGGCTGGAGTCAACTGCAGGAGGCCCATCAGAATCCATGGACCTTATGGAGGATCCCCACTGATTCGAGCGATCTACACTAGTGCAATTTACTGTGCTAAGCCGCAGGATTTGGGCCGACGGGTCTCCGCTTATGTCCACCTGCTCAGCTGTTCTTCACTGAGACGTGGAGAGCTCACGGGCCGAGGAAACAATGAAATGGGTCGTGCTCGCGGGACAAACGGATCTCGACCGTCGAGCGCTGTGAGCCAGAACGAACACCCGCCCCGCGCTCTGCGCTTGAGAAAGGAAGTTTTCTCATCCGCAAACTTTTTGGTTTTGGAAGAACTCTTACTGCTGCTTTCCGAGAACGGAAACATCTCATTCCACCCATAAAAAGGTCGGAAGACCCTACCCGGCCAGGGGGACGAACTCTTACTGCTGCTTTCCGAGAACGGAAACATCTCATTCCACCCATAAAAAGGTCGGAAGACCCTACCCGGCCAGCAGAAAAAGGGGCACCTGGAAAAAAAAACCTTGGAGGGAACGATCTCTCATTTCCCAGCCCGACCAAAACCTGCAGGCGAAGAACTTAGGCAATGAGTTCGGAGTGAAGATTTTGAAAAAAAAAGAAAAAGACAATCAACGGCATGGTGGCAGCGGTGGGATTGTTACCTGCATAGCCCCCGGTCGACTTGATGTACATCTGCCCGTACTGGTCTTCCGCCATGGTGTCGTAGGCTTCATCATCTTCTTCATCTTCCTCGTTGTGGTAGGACGTAGGGCTGTCGGTGGTGGGGAGGCTGCTGGCTCCGGGGCTCGTCCGCTCCCCTGGGGCATACTGAGCTTGCGGGATGTTCGGGATGAGGGTGGCGAGGTTGGGCACCCCGTAGTAGGAGACCCGGGACAGCTTCATAGGGGTCATGCCCGATGAGCTCCCCCCGGCCGAGTCCCGAAGGCTGACCTCCAGGGACCTCTTGGAGGGCTGGAGTTCCAGGTTCTCGTGTTTGACCCGGGTGAGAAGCGGGATGGGCATAGACGGGGACAGGGCGTAGGGCACCGAAGCCGGCTGCAGAGGGTTGCTGGGGCTCTGGGGCTCTGAGTTCGGGTCTTCGATCATCGCCGTCTGAGAGTCGCAGTGCGGGGAGCTCACTTTGAACATCAGGTCCGTCCCTTTCTCCACGATGTGCTGGATCTGGAGGAAACCCGCCGTATACATCACCACCAGCTGCTCGCTGGCGGCCATGGTCAGCTTCCCGGTGTAGCAAAAGGAGAGGATCTGTTGGAAGCAAGCCGGGGGCACGGATCCTGGCAGCTCAAAGGCGCTCTTGCTATTCCCACTGAACAGGTCTCTAAAATACAGGCTGCTGGCCGCCAAGACGGCCCGGTGGGCCTTGAAGGCCTGCCCTTTGACCACGATGGAGACATCGCAGTAGAGTCCCAGAAGCCTCTGCTCGTTCAGGGAGCCCAAGACCGTGTTCCCAAAATTGGGGATTTCTATGTGCAGCATCTGTGACATGGCTCAGCAAAAAATCCTTACACATTCAATGCGTCAGCATCCGAAGGAGGGCACATCTGTGGGGTGGGAGGGGAGAAGAGAGAAGCTGGGGATGAAGAGGGAGATCTGGAACAGACAGGCCAAAAGGGGAGAAAAAAAAAACATGCAATAAAAAAAAGAGCATCTCCTGCAAAACTGAAGTGTCAGGCGTTCTGCGGGTGCTCCCCGTTCGAAACAGACCGGAATGGAAACTCCACCCCATCCATGCAGCACAAAGCAAACCAAAATGGTCCCGCATCAGACCAGCGGGAGAGCTCCCCGTACAAAGTCCTCACGGGAGGAGAAGGAACGCAGCCGGATGTCTTTGCAATAAGAAGGTGGGGGGGAAGCTGACAGCGGCCTCATTTTATTCCAACAGCCGTAAGTCGGCATCAGGAGGCGGCTGCCCCCGTCTCGAGGCATCCCAAATGGGGTGGCTTTGGAAGGGGGGGGTAAACCCTCTTTCGAAAGCCACCGGACACCCAACAGAGAACCGAACCGGGCTGGGCCGTGACAACAAAGGGGACAGAAAAGACACTTCCAAAATGCGGCAAGTTCTCCCTCGGACTTTGAAGTTTTTCCTGCCCATCCAAAGTGGGGTAGTAAACAACGGGACTGCAGAATCGCTCCTTCGAAATATCTAACGCGGAGGACGGCTGGGGGAGAGGGAGGGACCCTCTGCAGACCCGGCCGGGACCCCTCTTCCGGAAAGTCTCTTTTAAGTTTTTATCCCGCTTCTGTTTGGGGTGGGGGGGGCCCGAAAGGAAGGCTGGGCTCCGGCGGTCCTCCCAGGGGCCAGCCGGAGAGGTGGAAAAGGGCTGACCTCCACGTAAAGAGGCCTCCTCTTAAAAAAAAAAACACCTGCCCCAAGCCCCAGACTTTACATCAAAACTGCAGCAAGAGAGCACGGCTGCTGTTTTAAGATCCTCCGGGAAGCATCGTGTCGTGAACCCCTGCCATTCCAGAGGGACAGAACCCCCAGCAAACGGGCAAAGTGGGGGGGGGGAGAGAAGAAGAAGAAATCTCCTGAGCCAGCAAAGAAAAAATCCCAGCAAAGACATTTCTGGAGCACCGTCGACACCCCTTTTAGCCAATTTGGGAGGGGTGGCGGGTGGAGGAAAACATGGAAGAGGTGTCCCCCCCCCCACGGGTCCAAGGGAGCAGCACTTCCGCGGCACTGCAGAAAAGGATACGGCTTTTAAACGCCCGACAATTGGTTTTTCCCTCTCTCTCTCGCCGCCCTCCCTCTCCCCCCCCCCAGCTTTGTGCTAAAACACAAAGTCCATCTTACTCCAGGACTTCAGCTGGTCCCAGTTTTGGGAAAAGGGTCAGATGTGAACAAAAGTGGAGCTTTCTTTTTTTTGCCTTCCTCACTCCCCCCCCTCTGCAAACCCAAGACTCAGAAAGGAGGGGGGGGGAAGTAACTACACAATGGACTGCTCTGTTCGGGTGTCCCCCCCTCCCTCCCACACAAGCATCCTTTCTGAAAAAGCTTCAAGTCCGGTGGGGGGGGGGGGGTCTGTCTCAGTGCACCTGCCTTTTTGCGGGCCCGACTCCATCGGGGCAGGGGTCTGCCTGTTTGCACCCCCTGGCCACCTTCCCCTCTCCCCCCCCAAAAAAGCCCACCCCATGGGGACCTACCTTAAATGGGGCGAGATCCCTCAGGAAGGCTCTCCTCCTCCTCCTCTTCCTCTCCTCTCTCTTTCCCACGACACGGAAATGCAGCAGAGAAAAGGTGCAGAAAAGGGGGGGGTTGTCTTGCGTGCTGTCCTGGTGGGGAACACCCCGGGGTCCGGTCCTTCCAGCCGAAGTCAAATCTTTGCACCCCCCGGAGCCGCCGAAAGCATCCTTATGAACCGGGCCAGCTTAACATTCAGAGAGCCTTTTCTGCGATGATGAATAAGGGGACCTGCAGCCAAAGCCAGTTTCAAAGGGAAGCCAGGG